ATCTAATGAGACCCTCGATCTTATATTGGGGAACCAACTAGAAATTAAGCATACACGGACTGAAATAACAAATATTATACAGACTCCCGACAGCAGACCAGAGGAGCGCAAGAATCAAGTCAATGATTTGAAATGCGAGGAAGCAAAAAACACCCAACCGGAAAAGCAAAATGAAAAAAGAATCCAAAAATGCGAGGATAGTGTAAGGAGCCTCTGGGACAGCTTCAAGCGTACCAACATCAGAATTATAGGGGTGCCAGAAGATGAGAGAGAGCAAGATATTGAAAACCTATTTGAAGAAATAATGACAGAAAACTTCCCCCACCTGGTGAAAGAAATGGACTTACAGGTCCAAGAAGCGCGGAGAACCCCAAACAAAAGGAATCCAAAGAGGACCACACCAAGACACATCATCATTAAAATGCCAAGAGCAAAAGATAAAGAGAGAATCTTAAAAACAGCAAGAGAAAGAAACTCAGTTACCTACAAGGGAATACCCATACGACTGTCAGCTGATTTCTCAACAGAAACTTTGCAGGCCAGAAGGGAGTGGCAAGAAATATTCAAAGTGATGAATACCAAGAACCTACAACCAAGATTACTTTATCCAGCAAAGCTATCATTCAGAATTGAAGGTCAGATAAAGAGCTTCACAGATAAGGAAAAGCTAAAGGAGTTCATCACCACCAAACCAGGATTATATGAAATGCTGAAAGGTATCCTTTAAGAAGAGGAAGAGGAAGAAAAAGGTAAAGATACAAATTATGAACAACAAATATGCGTCTATCAACAAGTGAATCTAAGAATCAAGTGAATAAATAATCTGATGAACAGAATGAACTGTTGATTATAATAGAATCAGGGACATAGAAAGGGAATGGACTGACTATTCCTGGGGGGGAAAGGGGTGTGGGAGATGCGGGAAGAGACTGGACAAAAATCGTGCACCTATGGATGAGGACAGTGGGTGGGGAGTGAGGGCGGAGGGTGGGGCGGGAACTGGGAGGAGGGGAGTTATGGGGGGAAAAAAAGAGGAACAAATGTAATAATCTGAACAATAAAGATTTAATTAAAAAAAAAAAAAAAAAAAACCAAAGCCAAAAAAAAGGCAAAAGCTAGATAATAAAAGAAGATACAATCTCAAATAATTTTTAGAAGTCTTGTGGTCAAGAGGAAAATGATTGGGAAGAGACAGGTTTTGGAGAAAGCTTAAACAAATGTTTGATTTCTTTAAACCTTCAATTGTTTAAAGTTGTAATGTTCTTCACTAATCTAAAACACTTTGTGATTTTAAGAACATAAAATATAACTTATAGAACTTTAAAAAAAAAAAAATAAAAAAAAATAAAAGCAAAAATCTCTTTATTGCCATTTTAATGGGAGGGAGCAAAATTAGAGGTGTGTATTGGATCTGCCATTTTGACCTACATATGTGACATCACATGTTAACTGCTGGGTTATTTTTAATGTTGTATATAAAAAGAAAAAATTACATTTTCAGTTTTTAAGAAAAATTGCTAAGTGATGTTTGAAGTGGACATTCTTACCCTAGACCAGAGCACCCAACTCCTGGAAAAGCCATGAGGTTGAGGGAGGTTAAGTCTGAAGATAAGGGAGATTTGCGATGGCTGGGGGTGGTGCACAGGGTGAGGATGAGGTGGGTGTTAGGCAACATGCAGAAGGAAACAGCATAGAACCTAGAGTTATATGTCTATTCTATCACAGGCTTTTTTCAGAATCATTCTCTGGGGTGTGTTCATTCTCTGTGAAATCACTCGTATCCTCCATGGTATGCATATCAAATCTCCATTTCTCTCTTAAAATAAGAATAGTCAAACGCATTTAATTTTAAATAATACATGCATTTGTCAGCTTAATGATTATACATATTTTTTCTTTGAAAATTTTAAAGGAATTCTCTGCTCTTGGTAGGTTTCATGATTACAATTCCCCAAACAGAGTTTGAGCAATTCAGGAAGGCATTTCTTAATTTCTCCCTATTGAGGACACAAATAGGGAAATGTCCCCCAATTGGAAAGTATCTTCTTTCATCTTCAGTCAGGGATGTTATCAATTTGTTTATTTTTACATAATGTTTTAATTTTGATTTGGTTATTTATTATAAAATGGCTGTAAAAGAAGAGATATTTATGTCACATTATGCAGTCTTATTCTCAGCTCTAGATTACGAAGGATATTTTCAAATAAGTTTTCCATTCGTTTTTTTTTTTTTTTTAGTATCCAATATTATAAATACATTTAATTGGATACTTTAGGCCAGTGGTTGGCAAACTCATTAGTCAACAGAGCTAAATATCAATGGTACAACGATTGAAATTTCTTTTGAGAGCCAAATTTTTTAAACTTAAACTATATAGGTAGGTACATTGTTATTAACTTAATTTGGGTACTCATAAGCTGGCCTTTGCTAAAAATGTCCTCAATCTGATTGAGGTATGTTCGCTGAGGTCGACCCCTTCCAACTCTCCCATCCACACTCATCTTGTATACTTGTTTCATCTATCTTCTTTCGTTCATCCTCTCTATATGTCCAAACCATCTCAACATACCTTTCTCAATCCTCGACACATCTTCTTTCACTCCACAACGTTCCCTAAAATTAACTTAATAAACTTTACTTAAAGTTTTAAGTCTTGGTTAAACTATAGGTACATTGAATAAAACTTGATATCATACTTAATAACGATATTATTTATTGATAAAATTAAATTCCTTACAATTTACCTTACAATATCCATAAAATTAAATCATGATAATGACTGACAAACACTAATGTGAACAATGGCCTTGCATCTCCTTGGAAAGTTTGGGTAAGTCAGGTTTGTATGTTGTTGTTTCTAATTTTAGGCATGATTCCAGGTTCTCATCAATAAGACAACTTCTCAATTTATTCTTGATAAGGTTCATGCTTGAAAATGATTGTTCGCGTAATACTTTAAGCAATAAAAATAAATAAATAAATAAAATTTAAAAAAAGATGTTCTTAAAAAATAAATAAATAAATAAAATGAGAAATATAATAGCAAAAAAAATTACAAATACTAAAAATAAAAATAAATAAAACAACAAAAAAGAATTTACTAGATCTTACGAAACTAAGGCTTTATGAAATAATATCTGACCACCTTGAACCTATACAATATTTACAGCCACACAGAGAGGCAAGTACCGGCTAGCCCTCAGAACTGGCCAAGGTGAAAATCAAGCAGCACTGGACTGCAGGACCATTGGCATCTTATTCTGAGGAGTCCCAGCTGCACCTCAGAGTTGCAGCAGAGGATGGCTGGCCATGCCATTCCACAGCACTAACATCTGCTACAAGCACTGGATGGCATATTTAAATGAAAATAAAATGAGTATTTAATTTCATGTTTAGAAGTATTTTGTAACCCCCCTGGAAAAGTTCAGGCTCCTTGGACCATTGCAAAGCCAGGGCCAGCAGTCCCTGCCAGAGAAGAAACTAGCATCAACTGCTTCTGAGAGGTCAGGAATGGTATGAAATGGCACCAGGGTGTGTTGCTGTCACTTTTGTGATTTGACTTTTAGAAATTAATCAAGAGTTGACCTCCTTAACTAGGTCCTGAACAGTGTTATAGTTCTAAGATTTCTTGAAATCCTGCCCTGCTGATTAAGTGAAGGCAAAGCCTAAGTACTTCCTCCATCATCTCTGACCCACTCCAGCGACGGAAAGCCATCTGCCTGAGCCCAGAACAAGTCAATGCTCTGTGCAATGAACAGCCACTCCTCCCACCATTCCTGCGTTCCATCCAAACACTGATGTCGGCCTCAGTCTGCAAGCGACTGAGGGAATGGGCAGTTTCTGTTGCAGCTGTGGGAAACCCTAAACATCTGCAACCCACTTTAGAGTTTTCAAAGCATTTTCCTTCATATATCGTGCTCCTTCTCATACACAACCACAAGTTAGAGGCCAATTAAATGTAGTGTGTGTTTTTATGTATTCAATCTGTACCACCACCCCTCAGCCTGTTAAATAAAGCTGAAATGTCATTGGTGAATGTTTATTGGAGAATTGTGGGAACATTTTTATGTTTTCTTAGAAACAATCAATTCAAATTAAAAACCATTTCCAGCCTTCTAAAAAAAAAAAAAAAAGAAAAAGAAAATGATTGTTCACATAAATATGTAGACCCGAATAAGGAAAGAACAGCAAACGCTAGTTTTTTCAGTTGATTATATGAGTCAGGAATACTATTCCAGGTGTTAAAAATCAACATATCTTCCTTCTCCAGGTCTTTCAAAGCAGACCACTTGTGCTGTGAACTAAGTTCACATTTGTTTTTCTCCAATGTTTCTATATCAGCACAAAGACGTTCAAATTTCAAGCGCCACAGTTCTTTGTTTTTTAAATCTAGCAATTGCATTTCAAAGTTGCCCATGTCAATATTAAAGGGAGAAAAATTTAATTCTGTTACAGTAGCATTGAGAGGTTTTTTTAACCAAGGCTAACATCACTTTGCTGTTTCTGAATTCCTGAAACCTGTTGAGAAAAGCTTCCCTCATATTTAAAAGTGTTGTTTTGAAATAGCAAATGTCAATATCAGAATTATTTTCTTGGCAATGTTTCAACAGGCTTGGAAAGTGAATCAAAGTTTCTCTTTCAAAATCTTGAGCAAAAAGAGGTATTTTTGAATGAAATAACTTCTTCTAATATCAAAAAAACTGTGCTTCCTTTCCCCTGTAGTTTACAATTAAGCTGATTTAGATGAGACGTAACGTCTACCATGAAATAAAATTTTTGGATCCACTGATCATTCGTTAGTTCTGGATAGTGAACACCCTTCTCAAGGAGAAATGCTTTAATTTCTGTTAATAAGGAAGCGAAACGTTTCAAAACGTTTCCTCTTGATACCCAACGTACCTTGTTATGCAGCAAATCTGTGTACTCACTCTCCATTTCAACTAAAAATTCTTTAAATTGGCGATGATTAAGAGCTTTAGCTATAATGGAGTTGATAATCTTAATCACCAATTCCATAACTGCAAATTTCTTCTGGAAATGTCTGCACACAAAGCACTTCTTGATGAATGATGCAATGGTAAGTAAGTATCTCGTGATTATTTTTTTCTTTCAAAGTAGCAACAAACCCGTTTCTTACGCCGGTCATACTTTTCGACCCGTCCGTTGAAATTGAGACAATTTTATCGAGTGGAATATGATGTTTTTCAATGCACTCAATTACAGCATTTGCTATATCCTCTCCACGTGTTTGACCTTTGAGTGGCAATAATCCTAAAAGTTCTTCTTTAGGACCTGTAGATGACATAAATCGTACAAAAAGTGAAACTTGCGCTGTATCATTTATGTCACAAGACTCGTCAACTGCTATTGATAAAGCTGAAACCAATTTAAGATCTTCAACTTGCTGGTTGGTTATATTCAAAGACATTTTGACTGTTCTATCTTTCACTGTTTTAGCAGACAATGGTAACTCTTTAATTTAATTTTTTTTAGAATATCTGCTTTGTTCTTAAAATCCCGAAATAGCTCTTTGGATGCATTTATAAAACAACTTTTTATGTATTCGCCGTCTGTATATGGTTTTCCTCTCTTAGCAATCTCTTGACTAACCACAAAACTTGCAATATTAACATTGTTGGAAGATTGCATCCAGTAATTAAATACAGAACTTGATTTTTCTTGACTCTTCTGAAGTTCCTCAACTGCTTTCTTCCTTGCTTCACCGACAGGATATTTAGAACTAAATAACACGTGTTTAGTTGTAAAGTGTCTCTCCAAATTTGATTTCTTGTTATGCGCCAATTTTTCCTGACAAATAAGACAGGTCGGAAGGCCATTTAAGTTCTGAATAAACGCGGAAGTCTCAGTCCATTCAACTTTAAATTTACGGTTTTCGTCTTCTGTTTTTCTTTGCTTCTTTTTTGTAGCCATGACAAACAGGACACCTAAAAAAATGTTTCATTTTATAATAAAACCACCAACACAAAATAATTACAATTCTTAAATTGATAACAAAAGACCTGTAGGATTTGCAACTGGTTGGAAAAATACAGGTAACTTTATGCTTCGAGTAGGTACTTTTTTTTTTATTATTGCTTTAAGTATTACAAAGGGTATTACATGTGTGTCCATTTTTCCCCCCCGCCCTTGACAGTCCCCTAGCCTCCCCTATCCCCCAGTGTCTTATGTCCATTGGTTATGCTTATATGCATGCATACAAGTCCTTTGGTTGATCTCTTACCCCCCTCCCTCCTGCCCCCCAACCCTCCCCGGCCTTCCCGCTGCAGTTTGACAATCTGTTTGAGGCAGCTCTGCCTCTGTATCTATTATTGTTCAAAAGTTTATAATGGTCTCTATTATCCATGAATGAGTGAGATCATGTGGTATTTTTCCTTCATTGACTGGCTTATTTCACTTAGCATAATGCTCTCCAGTTCCATCCATGTCGTTGCAAATGGTAAGAGTTCCTTCCTTTTTACAGCAGCATAGTATTCCATCGTGTAGATGTACCACAGCTTTCTAATCCATTCATCTACTGATGGGCACTTAGGCTGTTTCCAGATCTTAGCTATGGTGAATTGTGCTGCTATGAACATAAGGGTGCATATATCCTTTCTGATTGGTGTTTCTGATTTCTTGGGATATATTCCTAGAAGTGGGATCACAGGGTCAAATGGGAGTTCCATTTTCAGTTTTTTGAGGAAACTCCATGCTGTCTTCCATAATGGCTGCACCAGTCTGCATTCCCACCAGCAGTGCACAAGTGTTCCTTTTTCTCCACATCCTCTCCAGCACTTGTCGTTTGTTGATTTGTTGATGATAGCCAGTCTGACAAGTGTGAGATGGTACCTCATTGTTGTTTTGATTTGCATCTCTCGGATGATTAGTGACTTTGAGCATGTTTTCATATGTCTCTTGGCTTTCTGAATGTCCTCTTTCGAAAGGTGTCTATTTAGGTCCTTTGCCCATTTTTTGATTGGATTGTTTATCTTCCTTTTGTTAAGTTGTATGAGTTCCCTATAAATGTTGGAGGTTAAACCCTTATCAGTGATAGCATTGGCAAATATATTCTCCCATGTAGTGGGCTTTCTCGTTGTTTTGTTGATGGTTTCTTTTGCTGTGCAGAAGCTTTTTATTTTGATGTAGTCCCATTTGTTCATTTTCTCTTTAGTTTCAAGTGCCCTAGGAGCTGTATCAGTGAAGAAATTGCTTCGGCATACGTCTGAGATTTTGTTGCCTTTGGATTCTTCTAGAATTTTTATGGTTTCCTGTCGTACATTTAAGTCCTTTATCCATTTTGAGTTTATTTTTGTGTATGGTGTAAGTTGGTGGTCTAGTTTCATTTTCTTGCATATATCCGTCCAATTTTCCCAACACCATTTATTGAAGAGACTATCTTGGCTCCATTGTATGTTCTTGCCTCCTTTGTCAAATATTAATTGAGCATATTGGTTCGGGCCGATTTCTGGGCTCTCTATTCTATTCCATTGATCTATATGCCTGTTCTTGTGCCAGTACCAGGCAGTTTTGAGAACAGTGGCTTTGTAATACAACTTGATATCTGGTATTGAGAGCCCACCTACTTTGTTCTTTTTCAGGATTGCAGCAGCTATTCGGGGTCTTTTTTTATTCCAGATGAATTTTTGGAGAGTTCGTTCTAGATCTGTGAAGTATGCTGTTGGTATTTTAATGGGAAGTGCGTTGAATTTATAGATTGCTTTGGGTAGTATGGACATTTTAATGATGTTGATTCTACCAGTCCATGAACACGGTATGTTCTTCCATCTGTTTATGTCTTCCTCTATATCTTTTTTCAATGTCCTGTAGTTTTCTGAGTAGAGGTCTTTTACCTCTTTAGTTAAGTTTATTCCTAAGTAGCTTAATTTTTTTGGTGCGATGGTAAATGGGATTGTTTTTATAATCTCTCTTTCTGAAAGTTCACTATTGGTGTATAGAAATGCCTCTGATTTCTTGGGGTTAATTTTGTATCCTGCTGCATTGCCAAATTCATGTATTAAGTCTAGTAGCTTTTTGATGGAGTCTCTAGGGTTTTATATGTAAAATACCATGTCATCTGCAAATAAGGACAGTTTTACTTCCTCTTTTCCAATTTGGATGCCTTTTATTTCTTCTTCTTGCCTAATTGCAATGGCTAACACTTCCAGTACTATGTTGAACAGGAGTGGTGAGAGGGAGCATCCCTGTCTTGTTCCTGTTCTTAGGGGAAATGGTGTTAGTTTTTGTCCATTGAGTATGATGTTGGCTGTACGCCTGTCATATATGGCTTTTATTATGTTGAGGTATGATCCTTCTACTCCCGCCTTACTGAGAGTTTTTATCAAAAATGGGTGTTGAATTTTGTCAAATGCTTTTTCTGCATCAATTGATATGACCATGTGGTTTTTTTCTTTCAATTTGTTTATGTGATGTATCACGTTTATTGATTTGCGGATATTGTACCATCCTTGCATCCCTGGGATAAATCCTACTTGGTCATGGTGTATGATCTTTCTGATGTACGGCTGGATCCGATTTGCTAAGATTTTGTTGAGGATTTTGGCATTTATGTTCATGAGTGATATTGGCCTATAATTCTCTTTCATTGTGTTGTCTTTACCTGGTTTTGGTATTAGGGTGATGCTGGCTTCATAGAATGAGCTTGGAAGTGTTCCTTCCTCTTGAATTTTTTGTAGTAGTCTGAGGAGGATAGGTTTTAGTTCTTCCTTGAATGTTTGGTAAAACTCCCCTGTGAAGCCGTCTGGTCCTGGGCTTTTGTTTGATGGAAGCTTTTTGATGACTGCTTCAATTTCTTTCACAGTTATTGGCCTGTTGAGATTTTTAGATTCTTCCTGATTGAGTTTTGGAATGTTGTATTTTTCTAGGAATTTGTCCATTTCCTCCAGGTTGTCTAGTTTGTTGGAGTAGAGTTGTTCATAGTATTTTTTAACAATCATTTGTATTTCTGTGGGGTCTGTTGCTATTTCGCCTCTATCGTTTCTGATTTTGTTTATTTGGGTCCTCTCTCTTTGCTTCTTGGTGAGTCTGGCTAGAGGTTTGTCAATCTTGTTTATCCTTTCAAAGAACCAGCTCTTGGTTTCATTGATTTTCTGTATTGTTTTTTTGGTCTCTATGTCATTTATTTCTGCTCTAATCTTTATTATCTCCTTCCTTCTGCTCACTCTGGGGTTTTCTTGTTGCTCTCTTTCTAATTCTTTGAGTTGTAGAGTTAGCTGATTTACTACCATTTTTTCTTGTTTTTTGAGATAGGCCTGTAGAGCTATAAACTTCCCTCTCAGGACTGCTTTCATTGTGTCCCATAGGTTTTGGATTGTTGTGTTTTTATTGTCATTAGTTTCCAGGATGTTTTTAATTTCTTCTTTGATCTCATTGGTAACCCAATCAATATTTAATAACATGCTATTCAGCTTCCAAGTGTTTGAGTATTTTGGGTTGTTTTTATTGTAGTTTATTTCTAATATTATGCCATCGTGGTCTGAGAAGATGCTTTTTATGATTTCAATCTTCTTGAATTTGGGGGTACTTTGCTTGTGACCCAATATGTGGTCTATTTTTGAATATGTCCCATGAGCATCAGAGTGGAATGTATATTCCGTGGCTTTGGGGTGAAGTGTTCTGAAGATGTCTATTAAGTCCATCTGATCTAGTGAGTCATTTAGGATTGCTGTTTCTTTGCTGATTGTTTGTCTAGAGGACTTATCCAGTGCTGTCAGTGGTATATTAAAGTCCCCTACTATGATTGTATTGTTGTCGATCTCTCCTTTGATATCTTCCAGGAGTTTTTTTATGAATTTGGGTGCTCCTGCATTGGGTGCATATATGTTTACCAGGGTTATATCCTCTTGTTGTATTGATCCCTTTAGTATTATGAAGTGGCCTTCCTTATCTCTTGTTATGGCCTTCACTTTGAGGTCTAATCTGTCCGATATAAGTATTGCTACCCCAGCTTTCTTTTCCTTTCCATTTGCCTGAAAGATATTTTTCCATCCTTTCACTTTCAGTCTGTGTGAGTCCCTTCTAATGAGGTGGGTCTCTTGTAGACAGCAAATGTATGGGTCATGTTTTTTTTATCCATTCAGCCATTCGATGTCTTTTGGTTGGAGCATTTAGTCGGTTTACGTTTAAAGTTATTATTGAAAGGTACTTGTTTGCAGCCATTTCTTTTTTTGTGTGGCTGTTTTCTTTCTGAGCTTTTTATTTCTTCTTTTTATACCAGTCCCTTTAGCATTCCTTGCATTGCTGGCTTGGTGGTGATAAACTCCCTTAGCTTTTTTTTGTCTGTGAAGCTTCTTATTTCCCCTTCAAGTTTGAATGATAGCCTTGCTGGATAGAGTATTCTTGGATTCAGTCCTTTGCTTTGCATCACTTTGTAAATTTCTGTCCATTCTTTTCTGGCCTGATGTGTTTCTG